CTTGTCGCAGTTCTAAAGTCAGAGGGAGGATCGCCCACCTCTATTTATGTGAGCGTCTCTACAGTACCTGCGTATCCCTAGCAATCATATGATATAAAGTTCATTTCAGTCGCAAATCATTAGTTAGGAAAACTGATGTTCAGATAAGCGCTCTTCTTGCCCTTCTTCCTTATTCATTGCTGACTCTAAGATAGCAGTTACAGTACGCGTTCTATTAGGTTTACAGTCACCTTGCCACCAGGAAGACTCGCCACCAGCTTTGATTTCTTCTGCCATCTTCAGATTCACCTCTCTCTCAACTTTACGACTCCGATTTTTATGATGAGGATACTGGCATTTACAAACCCGAAGGTCTGAATCTCATACCAAGTTGTGCACGATATTTGAGGCGTATCGTGAAATCGCGGCCTTCGTAATCTCCAAATAAGCCAATGCGCGCTAGAATAAGCTTCTTCTCGTACGAAACGCATATTTGGGGTACATTGACGTCTTTCAAATGTTTTTTTTTTATGCTGTACACCCACGAGTTTAGAGGTGTGAGCTGTTGCTGTCCCTAGCCAGCGTGAGAATTGAGACCTTTTTGGACACTCGATTTCTTATACGGCATCATTATGAAGACGTAATATAACTGATACACCTACATTAACAATGTCTGTTGCACTGTTGCAAGAGGGAGGAAAACATTACCGGCAGTGTAAATTCTTTAAGAGTTTCAGAGACTTTTCAGAGATGTCTCTTCGGCTGTCACAAAAAATTGACCCTCTCTTAAATTTACTGGGGAAAATGAACTTACAAACTCCTTACAAACAATTTTGCTTTTTCCTCGGGCTGTTATAAAACAGATCATAAATTGACCAGTGAATAAAATATTTTGAAGTATCGTTCGGAATTTGCCTTTTTTTGCGTGCAAATCTAGGGTACTTGATCAGCAGGGATTTGCTAAAGCAAAGGCATAGAAAAAACCAGGAAAGATTTATTACTCGACGTTTCGGGGTCATCGTGACTCCATTATCAAGAGACTAGTTTAAAAACATGCAAATAAGGAAAGGTACAAGAATAGCATAAATTAGAATGAACGGCTTAAACAAACACCTTGGCGCGGATGGAATCCGTTTGCACGTTCAGTGTTGGCTTACGCATGCGAATATACAACATTTCATTAACAAGGCAATCAAATTTGCCGTTACATTTCGCGATGACGTTGAATTGCTCGATCAAGCGTTCAGGCATTTCACTATTGTGCTGGAGGTGGTAGTGTTTGTAGATAGAAGATGATTTCCTTGTGTGCCCTTCTACGCGCTCGTGTAAGTGACCACGAGTATAGCCCACATACCCTGCATCACACAGGTTACATTTAAATTCATAAACGATACATTGTTGGTTAACAATAGGGGGCTTAATTTCGTGTTGCTTAAGCTGTTGATCGAGCTTAGGGCTAACGAACACTGGTTGGACAGTCACGCTTAACTTCGAGCTTAGACTGTTCAGTTGTTGTTTAACATTGTTGTTTAACACGACAAAAAAAGGCAAATTCCGTAATAAATCTTTCCTGGTTTTTTCTAAATCTAGGGTAGACAAAGTTTCTAAAACATTTGACAAGAATTTCATGGGGTTCACCTCGATAATTTTCGTCGGCCAGAGTCAAGACACACCAAGCAAAGTGACATCGAAATAATTTTCCAAAGAATAAATGTGGCGAGCGTGGGGAAACGCACGTTTTTTTTCATTGTTATACATGCGTGACATTTTTCGGACGTTACATGGGTACGAGTACGTAATCTGTTTGAAGGTCACAGATTTAGTGTAAATATTTGACCCCCTCGACGTCACGTAATGTCTTTAGTTTACAGAGGTCTTAGAAAGCTTCATTACTTGGATTTGCCTTCTGCGCGTAGAGGGCTAAACGTAGCAAGAAAAGCGGATCAGCTGAAAGTTGAGCAGGCTTTGTTTAACGATTAACAATGACCGTATATGGCTACTTTGGAACAATGGCGGAAACAGCTTTAAAATACACGCGGGATTTTTCAAATTTCCGATTATCATACGAGCGGCAGATTTAAACCATCGGCAAAACTGATGATACGACAAATCCTCCCCGTGGGGGTGATTATGGTAGATTTTTTAGGATGCAAATAGTCACGGTGGGGTGGATGGTGGGGCGACTGTAGCTTTCGTATCTGAAGTAAAGAAATGTCACCGTTTTTTCCTTTACACTGCTTAAAACTGGCGAAAGATATATTCAATTAGAGGCTCACTGTGCGATACAAAAGTGCTGAGAGCATGTGTAACCGGCATTAACGTCCGAAGCCTACCACACCGTTGAATCATGTAGAAGACTATCGTCATTTGCTCGATTGTTTAATGTGCGGGTATTTAAATTTCGCGCTGCGTGAATGAGATTTTGTTCCTGATGTGCACAAAAAGGTTCATATTCTCCTTCCTCTAGTGTATGATTTAAACCTGGTAATAACGTCCGAAGCCTCGCGCGTCGTTAATTCATGTAGTTTTACGGGTATCTTTCTCTTTCCGTATTTCAATTCAACGAAAGGAGTTAAAAAAACAATGGCGAGTGGAAATAGTCGCACACGCTTGTAAATTTCTCCCATTCGACTCGACTGTTCAATCCGAGTATATCTAAATTTCGCGCTTCGTAAGCAAGAAAAACTGAATAATCTCCTCCCACAATTTTTTTGTGTTTACACAAACCGACATCAAATTGATACCTATTCATCCTTTTGTGTGATAGCAGGAGGTGAGATTTTTTTCGCATAGTCATGTTCTGCTAGTTTCTTCCTTTTTTTTTTTTTTTGCTCAACAGGTTACGTCTCTTCAATCACATCACTGATGCTGTCAGATTCATCTACCAAATTTTAGGGCAATCCAATTTCGCGCTACGAAAGTTATCCTATTTTCTTAGTTTGCATAAAGCGCTGCGCAATCGCCTCCCATAATTTGCTTACCGTAGCGTAAATGCATAAGCCCAGCAAAAACTTAACACGCGAAAAAAATCACACCCCTTGATTCGTTAAATGCCGCCTCGGTTGATTGAGAACAAACATAAAGTCCTAAGGTCCGCTTTCTACAAAGGGAATATTTGGGAAAACTGTTGATAGCTTTATAATTTTCATAAAGACTGTTTGAATCCGTCGTAAAACTATGTAAGCTCAAGCAAGACCTGTTTTTTTTTCTCCGAAAGAGAATATAGAACAAACGAAAAACAAAAAATTCGTAACTTCTCCATTGTGAGACTTGTGAGTAAAGTATCACACTCTCGTCTTGCCGCGCGTTTGACTGAAAACGAGAATAACTCAAAATAGATGTCCTCTCAAAAACTAGAGATAATTTCCTCGATCAGTACATCTTGTGTCATCAACATCGTTGCAAGAATTCTGTGCTTTTGTAAAACAGGAATCCTCTTCTTAGGTAGACTTGTTGGTTCCAGAAAGTAAGCGCTTCGTTAGAAAACAGCTGTGCGTCAGCGCCTGCCCTCTACGAAAATTTGGAGAAGCTGTTGACAGCTCCTAACTTTTAACAAAGATTGTTAAAATCCGCTGTAAAAATCTGATAGATTTTAATGAGAGAGACTTACTTTTAAACAGGACCTGCTTTTTTGGCAAAAGATAAATAAAAAAAACTCGCACCTTCTTCATTGTGAGACTTGTGAGAGAAAAAATATCACACCCTCATCTTGCCACGCGTTTGATTGAAAACGAAAATAACTCAAATACATGCTCTCGCAAAAACTAGAAATCATTGCTTTGATCAGTATATCTTGTATCATCAACATAGTTACATGAATTCGGCGCCTTTGCAAAGAAGGATCCTCGTGTCAGGTTAACATGCTGGTTCTTAAAACGATGAGCGCCTCGTTTGAAAACAGCTGTGCGCCAGAAACAAGGTTTTCAATGAAGAAAAAGTTTTTTGAAGAAAAGAAGAAAGGAGATTTGAATGGAGCATTTTGATGAAAGGAAAAATAACCCAACGTCCGTCATCGCAGACGGACGCAAACAGTTCCTTTACAATCGCACTAAACAACCCTAGAACGTATGTCTCACAATGAAAACTTTATTAATAGATTGGTTGGAGTGACATAGTCCTCAAAATTTCAAGCCTAGCAAGTGCAGCTTATGGTCACGGCCATTTCAGCCCAATTTTTTAGCGAAAACACAATGATTTTACTGCCTCTACACTAAGGAAAGAAGTTTCTAAATCTGGATCTCACCTGCCCTGGTGTGTGCTTGGTCTACCACAGCGTGGAGCCCCAGTCTCTAAGGGGTTTGTTTAACTATAACGCATCAGGCAATATTGCCTAAGAACACCTGTTTAACCAGACTTTAAACGCTGTACGCACACAGACAATGTTGATAATCACTTCTAGTGCATGGGCAGCCGTTCAAATCTTTATTATTTTATCTTTATATTATTTTATAAACTGATTGTAGAAAATAAGATAAAGAATCAGACAAGGAAAATCAACACGTTTCAGAAAATTATGGATGACAGAAAGAAAACATATTTCTTTCCAGTCTCATTAACATAGATTAACTATATACACACTGTAATCAATTTAATAAAATTAATCAACCTAAGGAGTACGAAGTGCAAAATTTTCCTCTTTATCTATGTTTGTGTGAGTCTCAAAACCATTTTCGCTGGACTTGCCTTTAATTCTTATTAAAGTCTCTCGTTTCTTCTCTCAAATTCACCTGCATTGCGTTTGTTTGACATGAATTACCAAAGACGATCTATAATTATAATGCCTTTTCACCTAACGTGACGTGCGACACTTTCAAGGAATTAATAATGACATTTTATTGTCCAAGACACATTACTCCAGTCAATCCGTACTAATTTAAATTCTTCACCGCGTATTATTCTACCAATTTAGCTTTTTGTGCAAAGAGCCCAAACAGGAAGAGGGAAGTTCATTTCTAATATTAATTTTCATCTTGGCTTGAAACCAACAGTTTCTATCGTAACCATAGCTACCAGACTAATAAAAGAAAACGCGTTTGGCTAAATAAGTCTAGTGTTGGGCACCAAAGAACGTTGGATCTTGGAAGGTAGGAGATGACTGTACTTAATGCATGATAAACTTGAGTTTGACTTTCACCCCATGATAAGATTTGATATTCAGCCTTAACTCCTATTTCTGTGTAGTTGAAATAAAACGAAAATGAAATTTACCGAGTTTCCAAATGTGGGTATCACAAACACTTGGCGAGAAAATATCTCCAGCTGCTTGAAAGAAACAAGATCATTATCCTTAAATTTTATTTTCTTGAACAAAACATTTACTATGTTAAATAATAGGGAGTTTTTAATCCAAAAGTTTTTGGATTAAAAACGTACAACTTAACGTCTAAGTATCTGCTTTTCCTAGCGTTTTTCGCCGTCAATTGGACCTAAAAGAATTAATCGAAATTTTTACAATGTTGGTCAAAGGACTAATTTCGGTGTCTAATACGTATGTTAACATGTGAAGATATTCCTAAGAGACCCAATTCTCTCCATCGAGCGAAGCGGATAACATCCATTTGCGCCATTTGCATTAATTTCCACATGGAACTGACAGCTGCAAGCATTTTTTTAAAATTTATTTTCATAAAAAGGTTTTGTTCATAACGACAGGTCGATTTGGGAAGCTTAATCCATTGCTTGGAGCTAACGATCAACTTAAAACTTGTGTCATACGCGCGTGGTATAAACAGAAAACCTGGACTGCATTGTTGACTAACTTCACTTTTGGAAAAGGTGAGTCGCAGACGGCGAATCATTTTTTTATCCTTCGATTCACTTATGAGTACAACTTCATTTATATATCTCTCCTATTCTATTTTACTGATACAAAAAGAATTAAAGTTACAACAACTAGCAAAGACTAAGTCAAAATCCGACATTCAACATCTACCCATGATTGGAACTCATTTTTGAAAAATTAAAGGATATTTAACGAAAGTTTTTTTACCGTTTCTTATTCAGAAAATTGGATTTTAGATGCAAAATGACTAAAAACTCCGGCAAATACGAATTACTTCATTTAAAATAGTTACATTCCCATCTCTCCTCTCTCAATAACATTTAAGCATGACACTATGTTATGTTCAATTTTCCCGCGTTTTACTAGGCGGAAATTTAATCTTTCTGCATCGTACGGAAGAACATTTTAACCGCTCTCAATCATATCTGAAAAATTATTTTTACAAGAGAACAGTACTGACATATGGCAAAGAATAGTTGCAATTTTTTGTTGTATATTCGTCCATAAACATAGCTTATCTATCAAAAGTTAAAATCGCGTATTGTGCAAGTCTAAGAGAAAGTTATTAGCACAAACATGTTCAATGATTAGTTTAAAGGTACTCACCTCAATAGAAGGTGGCATCTGTCGACCGTTAAATTGCCGATTATTTCGATATTTCTGGTTTGGGAAATATAGAGTTTGACATTTTTTAATCTAAGTTTACTATTTCCGGGAAAAAGTCGAATTGTCCAATGTATACTGAATTTATTCATACATCACCCCATGTATGAATCTGTTGCGTGATGCCAGAAAAAAGATGGCTTGTCTCAATTGAAATTAGCATAAATTTCCTCTTTCTATGATAATCGGTCTAAATAACCAAAGGCGATCGTGTAAACTCAAGTAGGAAAAATCTGAATTTTCAAGGACCTGTATAATGAAGGAAGAGAAAAAGGTTTATAAAGAAGAATAAAGTTTTTTTTTATGACTTATCGATCATGAAATAGAAAAGGAACTTGAGAAAAATTTGCGTATAGCTTTTATTAATGGCTTTTGTTCTCTTTCCTAAAATAATATCGAAAATGTTCTCTACAAAAGACAAGTGATGCTCGATGCTACCAATTTTTGTTCTGGTTTCAACTTTTTTTCTTTTTTTTTTTTTTACCGTTTTTGGGAGGGAGAGGGCTGGAGCTATTTATCTAGGGCCTTTTTATACAAAAAGTTAGGAATTTAAAATATAACAGCGGTAACAGCGACATCAACAAAAACAATTAAAAACTTTACTCAAATTTGTCTTGTCCCAAGCATTTTATGTGTTAACCTCCTTTATCTCAGCTAAAATCATGAGGAAATATCTGAGCGCGGAATTGAGACATAAAATTATCCAAATTCCTGTTATCAGATAGGCAAAAATCTGCAAATGAGGGCAGTATTAATTTTCCTCCATTTTCCTTGGGCTGGTTAAGTTACGCGGAAATTATAATTTCTCTTTTTTTTTTTTTTTTTTACAAGACAGCGCACCAAAAGTATAGGTTATAAGGAAAAAAGGATCTAGCAACCGTTTCCTCATAGACTCCTGTCCTTAAAAAGACCGTAAAAAATGAAATAGAGGCAATGCATAATTCAAGGCACGAATAAAATTTATTGGATGTCTTACCACCTTGATGTACTACGAGCCTGCTGCTTAATGTTCCTACATGATTTTAAAAACCTAAATGCTGTAATGTTTCCGTGATGGCTAAAAGGTTCCAAGGATTCTGTTATCGATTATAAAACGACGATGTAATGCCACTTTCTGAGAGGCCTTGAGTTGTTTTCCTTCATCGGAAGCAGTATTGCTATGGTTGTCAGCGTTTAACTTCCCGAACTGATTATTTCATGAATGCTTAAGTAAAAACCATGCAAATCCTAATTTACCCTTCGTTAAGTGTAAGATGAAAAGTTCAGGATGAAGACAAGTTTCACCACAATATTCTGTATTTCTAGTCTTGCATTTCCTTGATTGTTAATTCCATATTATACATATGCACGTACTTACTTCGTTTCAAGGCGCCAATAAAACACATTTAACGAAAGATGAGTCGTAATCGATAGAAAATAAGTCCACAGGAGCTTTACTCGAACAGTTTGGTCTCTACGTAATTGCAAAAAATAGCATGATTTAATTTATCGCCTGCCTAAATAAAGTACTCTCTACGTCGTTGAAAACGCGAATGAGACCAGTCGACAGTTAAAAGACAACTATCTGATAACAACTCGAATGGTAAACAGGGCCTTAAGAGCGACGCTGAATAAGTTCCCTGAAAAATGCAAGCCATTGAAGCTTTTTTTGAAACAATTTCACTCTTCTTTACTGGAACTTTTTCTTGAATTTATGTTCAGTTCTTCGCCTCAGATACAAAACAAATAGGTAACGACTGTTGAAAAAAGTTCGTCTATGCATAAGTTCTAAAGATTGTTTGACAGTTTTCAAATTAAACCATCCGTGCATTAAGACTAATACAGTTGCATATGTAAGCAATAGAGACTTAATGACTAGAAATGTGAATCACACAATTTTTCCGACGTTTTACTAAGCTGTTTTTCAGTGGCATATCACACCTAATGAGAACTTAAACAATTTCAAGTGTAACTTGAATTCAAAATTCGAGCAACTTCCGCCGAAGAATTAGACAAGCTGGAAAAATATAGGAGATGATTTATTAATGAAGTCATTTGGTGTCTTATAGAAAGACATAAACAGCTTCTGGTATCTGTCTTGTCTGTCATCTTGAACAAAACATTTACTATGTTAAATAATGGGGGAAAATGTATTGTTTATTCTGGTAAAAGTGCGCCTAAAATATGTTTTAAAACTCCTACGGAGTGCGTGAAGCCGGCTAAATGTTTCATCGTGCACAAATTGTCGGGGTGATTTTATCATAAGGACGGAAAACGTTGTGCTTTTTGTCTAACTTGTGGTGACAAAGCCGTAGGAAGAAAAATGAACGATTTTACAATAGCAACTTTTCAAATAATTTCGAGCCATTATTACGTGTTGATTTAACGTTGCTTGAGACAAGACAGACGACAATTCAATAAACTATGAGTAATATGAAAAGGACGTAAGCAAATTTCAAGATAGTGTGTATGGCGAAAAAAAAATAGTCATAAATTTACATACATTTATTTGAACTACAATGTCGACGACTCATTAAAAACTGTCATGTTAAAAATATTTATCAACAAATTTTTAGTATTTGGCATATCAGCGTAAATTTACATCGCATTTTGTTTAATCTGTTTGTCCTCATTGTCAACTTAAATTTGTATTGTAGCTCTGAAGCCCTTGAGGTTTGAGCAGATCGTTTGTATTGCGTTTTCTTGACGTCTGTGAATTATGGTCATCGTGGCTTTCGCGCAAGGTGGAGCTGTACAAATATTCATAGTAAATTCCGACACGAATCGTCAGTATTTGCTCAAAGACTTCCTCTTCCTTCCGAATCTGAGGGAACGCGCTGAGGGAATAAAAAAAAACATACATGAGTGATAATGCAAGGAGGAGAATAAAAATACAAATAAAGAAAAAGGAAAAAAAGTAGAAACTCGTGTTGCAGCGCGCAGATATCTTTTGAGCCAGACCTACACACTTATGCCCGACACTACGCAAAGAAACTCGAAAGAGTGCTGTATATGAACTTGTTCGCACGTGCACGCAGGAATGGCCATGACAATCAGCGAAAATAATGGCAAATGCAGATTATATTTGCAGTCAAAAAACAGGCAAATAAGATGACAGAAGGATAAAGAAAAAAAAACAATTTTTACTTCTCATGAAAGGTCACGCAGTCAGGCTACAAATACTATTTCTACGTGGAATTTCTTGATGGTGGAAAGTGGAAAAACCAGTTTCCAGTCTTATTTTCCGGAAACATGGCGCAGTTAATGAATTTTATGGGGCTATTGATATTTCCTATCAAATAAGGGGGGCAGAGTTTCCCGTCATCCGCGTTCTGGAAAAGCCGAAATTATTACACTCGGGAACTTGTACGTCAACAAGCACGCGACATGTGAATTTAAAATCTCCTCTCCTGTTACAGTTTCCTTATTGTGAACTGTGCGATAATGATAATAAACAATCTAATTGTAGACTAATGAATTTTTTGGTTTTGTACAAGTGCCCTACATCCTGATTTTAGCAAATCTTTAAAGTAATAAACGACAGACGAAAGAAACGCTACGATTTTCCCATCGATTTTTCAGCTAAAAACACGTCAACAGAGCTGGTATCTTTGTAAACAGCGATTTAAAATTGTTATATTTAGATGAATCAAAACTGAAGTAGAGACCAAACACGTCGAGTTTTGTCCCAATAGCGTGCGATTTGCAGTAGGAGTACAGCAAGAAAAATGGCCTAACTCCGTGAAAATGCACGCTATATATTTTAGTCTAGCGCGCTCGCTTTTCACGGGCCAAAAATAATATTTTAACATGATAAACACGGAGAATTTCTCGTTGAAAAGAGCTCTTTCTTTTATGTACATTTGTATACCCTTGATGCTATGGTCGTCTGAAATATAGCAAAATTCAGCGTACAAACGGAATAGAAAATATAGTGTACTTTACGCGGGTGGTTATAAACGAAAGAAAGTTTAGTTGGAGATGAAATATAGTTGCCAAGCTACTCCAAGGGATGAAAAACAACTTATGAAAAAATGAATCCAAGATAATTTTTCGTTGTCTTGTATGAGCATTGTGAAAATGCACTAAAAGCCCAATAGAAATTATGCAAATTAGGTACGTTTTGGCCGACTTCGAACTTTCGTATTTTTTTCCAAAATAAAAACTCGCTGGAACTTTTGAATGTTATTTTTGAAAACGATTCACCAAAAGAGTCTTTTGGAGCAAATAAAAAAAAGTTGAATTTTTGCTTCCGTCGCCGTATTCTTGAAAATTACTGACATCCTCTCTTAATCTTTAGAAAAGATTTCAACGTGCTTTCCGGCAGAGTTAATGTTCACTGTCAGTCTCGTTGTTTATTTACTCTACTTTAGTATGTAATGTTTACCACTGTAGATCAAGGTAAGCCATGGTAAGCCATGCCAAGCCTACTAAATTGTACGAGCCTGGAATTCACGGATGTCTTGGATGGGTAATCTTGAAAATCTTTCCTGACCTATCAAGGAATTAGAAATAATTTAATAGGTATTTTCAAATTATAGTCACAAGACATGTCAGCAGTGAATGATAAAAATGTATAATAACAATAATGCAGCCAAACGAAGGCTGACTCTTAGGTCTCCCAGTTTGCCGCTCTTTCCTCGGTGTCCAATCAATGAACTCAAATCCTTGCATTGGTGATCACAAAAACATGAGGGAGCCGAAACTTCTCTCGTTATTCTCTATAATAGAGTACACGAAAATTTAACTCAGGTTTTGAAAATCTGAGGTTCGAACATTCCTTGACAGGTCTGCTTTTCAGCTCTGTCACCAAAATGTTTATCTTTATCACGAAGGAACAGAAATATAATTTTTTGTTTTATTGACTAGCACGTGTGTGTGGATACAAAGTGTGATGCAGCCATGAAAAAAGGTATGTGCGGATGGTCGAACGAGAAAGCCTAACATCACGACCAAACTTTATCATCTTGTTAAAATAACCGTATTTTCTCACTTATGCGCTCCGCTATAACTCTTAAAAAATAAAACAAATGTATTTTTTAGCGCCGGGATTTATGTTGTCGATATTTGATACCGTTAAAAAACGCTGTTTTAAATTCATGTAAATCATCATTTATTAAAGTTGTGAATACGAGACAAAATTTTGATATTTAAAAACTGTTCTATGAAATTATTATATTTCATGAACCAGAAAATGAAATGAAATGGAATTTACAATTCCATGGACCCTCTCATTCTATCCAAAAAATGAAGAGTTTTCAATGAAGTCAGCAATGATAACCACTGTTCGCGATCCAGAGGACGTATGTTGCCCCTTTGCAGCAATAAACGCTGTGGCCCCCATCATAGCTGTTTTTTGAATTTCACACAGGGCTCCACCGGTTGCATAGCATCCCCGGAGAATATACGACAATTTGAACATTTACATTCATGCTTCATTAGGATGAGCAAGGGACCACGTTCAAGTACTTCTATGTATTCGAGGTTCTGGTTGGTAATTGTATTTCTGACTTCTCGCATTCGTACAAATAAAGTTAATGGCAAGTGTCACACAGCGGAATACTCTGTGAGAGGAATGTACCTCCGTGGTCACACGTTTAAAAACGTCGAAGTGAAATTACATGAGACGTGCTACTTCAAGTGCACGGAAGAAGTCACATGTCAGAGCTACAACTTCGTCATTGGTCTTAACATATGTGAGCTAAACAATCGTACAAAGGAAGCAAGACCAGAAGATTTTTTGCCAGATGAGATGAGATACTACATGAAGCGTCTTACTAACAGAGGTTGTTATCATGTTGATAGAGAAGTCTTAGACATAAGTTCAAAAAAATTTTTTTACCTCTCTTGAGCTTCTGATTTCTCCACTAACTGAGCTATAGAAAGCTTATTGGAGACTTGAGGCTATACACCACATTAGTTCGAAAGTATGGGTCTAACTAGGGTAATTTAGTATTATCAACTAAGTTGATAACGTAAATTGGCCACCGTTTCGAGTTTTAAAGCTGACGTTTCGATCGTTAGTCTTTCGCTGAATGTTATACTCTCCCACCGACGCAGCACCACAGTTTCTTTAGAAAATAACCCCCTTTATTATTATGCCTCTTACTATCGAGCTTGAGGTCCGTTCTGTAAGTTACGGACCGGGTTTTTTCTGCTCGGACTTATGGCCCAAGCTCAACATACGTAAGATATAAATACGAGCAGAAAAAAAAACTAGTTCTATAACTTATAATAGAAAACCGAGAAATAAGGTTAGACATTTCTTATATCTGTAGGATCAAATAGAGAGAGAAGATTTCAGTTAAAAAAAATTCCAATAATCTATTTCTACGCATTGCAACCCATTCTCTTGTGATCAGTTACGTCAGAGACTGAAGCTGGAGGGTTCAACCGAAATTTAGAAAAGGGACTTCGCTAAACGATGGTTCAAACGACGAGGGTCAGTCGCTAATTGGTCAGTTCGGGAAGTTTACCAGCAATCTTTCATCTACTTGCGAGCGGATGTGTCGCACATTATTCATAGACCATTAGAGATGCACAGAACTTCTTCCTCGAGAAGATGATAAGTGCAAAGCCTTCTAGATGGAAACTATCTTTCCGAATTTGAAAGTGAATGAATCCCTTCCTCGCATGAAAGGTTTTTTACTTAGCCTAATTTTGATAGTCAGGAGGTTTGTAACCCATTCTATTGCTATCGTATAGTACCCCTAGGATCTACCGCCGAGCTTCCAGCTGAATCGTGCACAGAGGTTAAAGCAAGTGAAGGAAATGATGTGGAAAATAGGAAACACTGGATATACTCTGATGAGAAAAGTTTGCCAATAGAGGCTCTTTGTGAAGGTAATTATATATTATAGTCATTGGATTTTGGAACTGGAAACTATTTCCGTCCACTAATTTAAAAACAGCAGTTTAGTCAGTTTGTCACCTTATCAGTCGACCTGTCTGTACGTTTAAAGGTCCATCGATTGAGAACCTAAGTGTTATAGGGGTATGTAATTTGTCTGTAAGCTCTAACTAGTAATTCGATGCAACTAATCGCAAATAATAGTAAATTTTTATAGACTGTCCTAAAGAGTGCTGCATCGAATATGCACCATTGCCCGTCCGATTGGTGTGGAATGTTCCAGTACTGGACTACAATGGACTCACGGTAACTTTATTCAGCATCCAAGCTATATCCAAAACTTATGTCTACATTCAAACTGTTTATGATTACAAAGTTAATTATTGACAAAAATAGTAACGCCCACTACTAATAGCCACGTATTCATTTCCAGGGGGAGCTAGGTCCTTACCTGATGAAGACCTCAGAAACGTTGATTGTTTAATTTAAAGTTCTTATTTTTTATCAATTTCATTATAGGTAGCTGGCAGAAGGTAAATGGTGAAGATTCTATCTGCTTTGGAGCGAGAGATAACCAGTATGGTTCCGTGACAATCCCCAAAAGTGGACGTCTCCGAGCCATGAAGCTCATCCGCAAATCAGGATCGTTACGCTGCAATCGCGTAACTGGCTCATCGTTCTGGGGTTGCACTTACTGTGCATATAATGGAACACTCTCGACAATTATAACAGATGCTGATAAAAACGCCGTCCTACCTCCTGATGAAGACCTAGAAGGGTTTGATGTCTCACAATCTCACGAATGTGGCACCGAAAAACACTTTTACAGTCTCGATGGGACCAGCCACAATTCTACTGTACTGGTTTTTCGCAACCTTTCGAATCCGTTGTCTGTGTCACGCGATCAAGAGTTGCAGATATGGTACGGGCAAGATCTGAAAGACTGTTCGGAAAGTGGGAACAGTGGTGAAACTTGTGTTGATGTGTTTGCATGGTATGAGTAAGAGAACCGTCACTCAGAAAAAATTTCAATCGAATACCAAAAGTCAGCTTTCGTTTTGTTTTACTTCGTTCTTTGGTTTAGGAAATTCTTACCATCTTCTCAATAAATCAGACTCAATCCTAAAGCCAATCATGACTTTGCTTTTTTGTTTAATTGGGCTTCGCATCCTCATCTTTTTCCCCTGTTTCATTATTTTGGTTTCGCTCTTACGAACGAGCCACCGTCGAAATCCCTACTGCCAGACTAGTACATTACTTCTGAGCATGTTTAATCTACTGATACTGAATAGTACCAGCAGATACCGAAAAGTGCCAGCAGATTAAAGTAGTAACACAGAGGTTGAGGTTATTCCCACCTCGCGGGTGTCCTTCAGGAAAAAAAACTTTGTACGCGCGCAAGTTTCACTAAAACCCTAGCCAACTATTTATCAGAAGAAAGCTTAATAACGGCAGTTTACGATAAAAATATAATTTAAGCGACTTTTCTTTTAGGGAAGTGTCAGGAGCCGGTAAGGCGTGAAACGACCGAAGATTCTCCTATTGAATTTATCAGGTATCGGATTGCGCAGCACTATCAATATGGCTGCACAGTCTCACTCACAAGGTATCAATCAACAAGTGTGTCAGGCTTTTTCGACCTTCTGATTGGTTTTCTAGGTATCGGCATCCAAATTTGGAGAGGCTAAAAATATGCGTGGCATGTTACAATAGTGGACGCTACAGGATTCAAATACCAAAATTTCCCGACACAATTTCGTTTGTCATTATTCCTAGAATGTTTTGGCGAAGTTGGACAAAAATAGGTCAAATCTATATATCCTATAGATTCGCTCAAAGTGGTTGTATTCCTTTCAGATTCAAATGCGAGATTTAAGTTCACGAAGGATCGCAAACAACTCGTGTCACGCCAGGAGATTATCTGATTATCTCGCCTTCTGAAACCGCAAACCAATGGGACAACGAGACCTCCTAGTGTCAATGACGATGGATCAATGTTTCCCGGGAAAAGTAACCCATTGCCAAAGGAAAGGAAAACCCGCAGCAAAAATGGAAAAACCGGAAAATGTGCTGAGGAGTAAGACAACGAATCGACATAAACTTTCAAAATTACGATTCGAGGCGATTGATAACGTTTTGGTATCAAAGCTGGTACTTGCATAAAGAAAAGGAAAGCTCGTTTTTGACATCATGCATGGCAAATTATGGTTTGACGGAGACTTCTTTGTTCAAAATCTGGTGAAGCTCCGCCAGCACCAGTCGCTTTTCTTTATTTTTTTTACCAAGGACTTTCTTCCACTTTCTATTTTTCTATGAGCAAAGATTTTTCCATAATCAAGAGTTTCCACGTATGAATTTTGTAAAGAGCGCGATGCATACAAAATATGGAAATAACATGAAAAACGAGCCCCAAGGTTGAGCGGTTGTCACGAAAATCCCCCAGGGAACTTGCCCAGGTCCGAGATTATGACATCTTCCTGATTTGTTAACTTTATTTGAAAACACATTTTCTAAATAACTAGGGTGCTTTTAAAGATTTCAGAAAATTTTTTATAGAAACTTTAGGTTGAACGTTTGAATTCAGTTTAGTCAAATACAAGAAAAATCGATTTTTCGGCCTCTGAAGGTGGGAAGTAACCTTAACTCGTGCAAGTCTTTATTTGGGCATCGTGGTTCACTGTTTGTGCTACAAGGTAAGCAGAATAAAAATCGTGTTTTCTCCGTCGGCTGCGCCTCGTGGCTAACGAACTTTTCGAGTGTTCTCCTAACATCCAAAGTTGTATATTAGCTGGTAAACCGATGGAAAATGTGGTTGTGCTTAAATAACCGATAACTTTAGTGGTCCAGGTTTTGTTACGAAGGTACAAACTAAAAATTATAAAAAGATAAGTTGTGGGGTGAAACATTGAAGCTGAAATGAACCAACTCAAAGATTTTATTTTCATTTTAGGAAATACCCATAGAATATTTTTTTATATATTACGCATTAGTTAGATATCATTAACATGGAATGTTTTTCCGTCTGAGACGGCTCTTGTTTCTCTAAGGTTAATCAGACGTTGCATTCAATTTTTCTGTTTTTTTTACTTTGGGCGTTGGAAAAAAAACATTTTTTTAACTGACTTATTAACATAAACTATTAGTTGAAGGTAACTGTCGGGGAAGATTATGATGACCACTGCCAGATTGCAGAAGCATTCTCAGTTTTAAGATAGCCAGCATTCTGATATACAATAGATTTAGGTGCTGTTTGAGCCTTTCGAGCTTAGCCGCTGATCCCTCAGCGCTGGCACACCAAACCACCATCCAGGCAGGCTATATTCCTAACACTTTCAAAGACTTTTCAATTCAGAAAACATTTTGAAAAATTTGGGAATAAAATACTTTTTCTTGCTCGAAAAATGCCTAAAATTAGCCAAGATAAGGAAAAACCGCTGAAGTCGTAAAATTGATTCAAACTTCGAACGTCAAACTTTCCACAAAGTTAATTACTAAAATGATTTTACCTCATAAATAATATTTGGTTATTAACTCATATTGTTACTTCCAGGCGTTACATCACCTGAACGGAAAAGTACTGACAAATGCATTGATTACCTTTCGCGCGCAGGAAGAAGGCGGCGAAAGCTAATTTTCTTAATAACTGCTGGGTATCTTTCAAAAGGGCTTTAAAAGTTGACATACAGTTTTCAAGCAAATATGGCCAAGCCTCGTGTTCTCCTGAATTCAATAATATAGTTGCAAAAGTGGACGGTATCGCTTTCTATCAAGTACTAAGGAACTAATGCTATCTTATATTATGAAGAGATAAGAAGCGCTCTATATCATTTACCCTATGGGAATAAGGCAAATTGTTGTTGTTAAGAGTTTCAAGTTCCCTCTTGATCCCTTGTATACTAACAGCTTGATTGTCTCTGAATGAAGGCGTCGAACTAAGAAGTTCGAAAAGAACGCTCTAAGAGCTATGTATCTTCGACAAGTTTTTTTTCCTTTGTATGAGCAAACGGTCGAACAAAATGAATGAATAATACGACTGACAATTTGAGTTCACTCAGGCCAGTTAGCCGCCGGAATTATCAAACGGGAAAGCGTAATGATTCATTCGTAATTAACTTATCCTTAGATTCACTCCAAGGGATGGATTCATTGAATGTGTCTTATTTTACCTATTTTCGACCCACTTTACTTTAGAATAAACCTTACTGCTATGGGGCGAACTGATTTCCTCCAAGTTCGTGGTTAGCACACCTGATAAAGTTCTTCAGTCCCCTAGAATAATTTCTACTGAAAAACAAGCATACGCATGGATTTATGGCGCAACTGAACTGAGCCAGAACTCTCGCGGCAGCTGCAAAGCTACTGAAGACACAGGAAACGGATAAATTGGATTTATGGAGGTAGGGAAGTAACAGGATAATATTTTGTGGCAGCCAGCAAAATGTAAAGGCTATGACAATAGTCATGCTCAACTTAAGCAAGTTTTGCTCTCTTTTAACTCTTTGCCTTTGGATGTCCACCGAGTGTTCTCCAGGAATCCTCTCCGATTTGATCCTCGAATACATGACAATGTAGAGCATGGTGATAAAACTCAAAGTCAAGAAAGTTAGGATACTGAAAACTGAAACTGAGTAAACACCAAAAGCACTATTCACCCAAACGTTACAAGTTTGTGTTCTATGCGAGTCAAAGAGAACTGTAGACTCGAAGAGAAATGGAGTGCACGTTATCATCCCAATAATCCAAGTGGCTAAAATAAGAATTAAGCAGAGCTTTGAGCTGATGAAAGGTGATCGGAGAGGAAATAACACAGCTAGAAAACGATCCACTGCTATTAGAACCATACTTTGAAAGGACACAGTTACAGAGACATATGGTAAAAAGACAACCAGCTTACACAAGGTTTGGCCAAGAGAACCACCGATCGTCCAGGAGTCCAAAAATCTTTTGGTTACATTGAGCGGTAACAGGATAATCGAAAAGAGCAGATCAGACATGGCCATGTTGACAATGAAAAAATTGATTGGTCTTCTCATGTTTTTCGTCCTGTTGACAATTATACCGATAACGATGTTACCACCCAATGAAACAACAAATGATAGGCAAAGAGCAAAAGTCTCACCAATTTTCTTTGCCGAAGGATCGAAACAGCTCGATGTCCTCACCAAAGCATGGGAACCATTCAGTTTTAAACTCAAGTTTGGGAACATTTTCTAACCCAACTCTATCACGTCATTTCTGCTCAGGCTGTGTTAGCAAGACTCCCCCGCATCGCCTCAGATCGTCTTTGTTCCCTCAATTAGTTTTATTTTCCTTGATATCTTCTCAAACGCTAACAGCTGTGTTCATATCGTGAACATTTTACAATTAATCAGCCGGAATCTTTTGTACAGCTGTCAAGAGAAAAAAACCGAATTACTGGACGAGACAAAAAAGCTAAAATAGACCCTTCCGAAAGTTTTGTTTTAACTGACATTTGACATTTGGCAACGAAATAATTAATAATGTCTAGCTATCTCTCCATGATGGATAACGCGCACGCCAATTACATTCTGCCAAAATGATAGAAGAAATATTGTATTGTGCAACACTCTAAACCTTTTTGACGACTTAAAAACCAGCTGGTGATAGCTGGAATACATTATTTTTTGAGTGAAATTTTACCCCGTATCTTATTTAACTTAAAATGTTATCCCACACACGCCATTTTTTCTATCAAACATCAATGCCATAAATCTTTTACTGACCAAAATATTTTCACCTCTGCTCCACCGTCATCATCTTCAAACTAGTAATGTTACGGTACACCTCACCTATGCATATTAATTTTAGCTCTCATATTCCCCAGTCTTTTATTACTCCACTCATCCCACTTTCAATAAAAGAGGAGAAACTCGAAGGGCAACACTGAGCGATTTACGGGAGTATCCATATGGAAACCTATTATGTTTGAATATTTAGCTAAGTGCTACTGATTATTTGTCGGCGGATGTTAAAGAAAAATGTCAACACTTTTTTCGAAAACCATAACTAGAGGGACCAAATCAA